TATATATATAAGCAGGGATAGGCATCTATGTATGTGGATTTGTGCATATGTGTGTGTTTTATAATGTATGGATTTTTGTATATGTGTTTGCACATTGATGTATATAAGCACAGCATGTATGGGTGTGTCATGTATGTTGCTCTGTGACTTCCTCATACTGTGCCACCCTGGCCTTTTCTTGGTTGACCCCACCCTATAGGTTGTAAGGGACAGAACAGCTCTCCACCTGCAGGCATGGAAGTGAGGTAAGGATAAATGTTGGGGAGAGCTGGGCCTCTTCACACTTGGAATAAGGAAACAGGAGCTAAATGGTTGGGTCCCTCCCTTTTACAGAATTCTGCCTTAATAAAAGCGTCACTTCCTATGGGATTTACAGGAATTAAATCATTTAAACCTCACAAGAGCCTCATGACATAGGGACAGCTTCCAACCCCGTTTTTCAGACAAGAAAACAGGTCACTAGGAGGTTCAGTGGCTCTCAGTGGGCTGATCCATGACTCTGAGGAGACAGTCTGACTGCTAAGCCCAAGTAACCACCCTGTCCTGCTGACCCCATACTTGTCCACTGACCACCTATGAGTTGCCTCCTGTGGGTTTTGACCAGCCTCCCTTCTCCAGGCACAGAGACTGGACTAGAGTCTATTGTATTTGCCACAGTCCCTACGAAGGCTACTACAGGGAGCTGAGGGAGGGGCTTGAAATTGATAGCAGCAGGAGGCAGACAAATCTCTTGGCAGATAGAGGCTCATGCCCGGAGAAACTGCACCTTCAAACCAAAAACAGCCTGAAGCTGTTTGTTCTTGTTGAAACGACCCGAAGTGAGAATTTCTGTTCCTGTTTGTCCACTCTCCCAATTGGTTCTCTCTGAATAATGCTTTTTAGCCAATTGAATGTTGTCCTTTCCAATGCTACTGTGCCTATAAAAGCCCCAAATTCAAACACACAGAGGGACTCCCTACCCTTCAGGTTGGGGGTAAGAAACCAATCTCCCATCCCCTGTCCACTGACGGCTGTTTTATCACTCAATAAAGCTATTTTCCCTCTTCACCCTACAACTGTCAGGGTGACCTCCTTCTTGGCTGGAGGACAAGAACTCGGAACCCACTGTGGTTCTCTGCCCTCTGCCAGCAGAGGGCAGCTGCCCCATATGATGGGAAGAGGCTGATAGGGCTGTTAATGCACCGGACTAAAAGCGCTAATTAGCACGTTATAACACCCCCTCGGGGCTTCAGGGTTGCAGACACCCCTGCCTCGACGCCACCCTGTACCCTCTCATCTGGACACCAGGGGGTCCAGCCGCAAGCTCCATACAGAGCCCGCTTCTGTGCCTGAGCTTGGTTGGCTGGCCCGGTTGTAAACTTGCTCACACTCCCTCTCCTGTCAGGGGCTGAGCACGCAGTCGTGGTGGCCACAGGATCCATGCTGGAGTGCAAGCCAGGTGTGGCTGATGAGCTGAGTAAATGGGGCATCTCCTGTGGGAGCCTCACCCAAATGAGGGAGGGTGCGGGGTGGGGGGTGGGGTACCACTGACCTCAGGGGTCTTGGACTGGCAAGTGGCTGAGAAAAACCCCGTGTCAGAGTGACCCATAGGCTGGTGGAGTATGCTTGCTGCAGGTGGGGAAAGGATGGGCTATATCTGCCCTGGAGGGAATAAATGGTGTTTTTATCAGGGAATATGAGGTGCACCATCCAGAATGCTGAAGACCAGCAGTGGCCATGCAGAGGGTATTCATCACCGTTTTATTTCACAGCCTGAGAACACAGCCCATGTGGGCCTGAGAGTCTTAGGGTATTCACTCATCTCCTTCTAATTCCTGCTGGACCCTACTTCTCTTCTTCCAACTGAACTTCTGGTAATACTAGCATTACAGAATGAACTGTGAGGGGGAGTCTAGCCAAGCCCCTGCTGCCACTTCCTCCACTCTTCTACTTCCTAGTGGGGTCTCCTGGATGGTGTGAGAGGAGAGCAACTGAGATAGCAAGAGAACTTGACATTTACACTGATAAAGAGAAAGTGGGATGTCTACTTATGAGAAAGGTAAGGGCTGCCGTAGGGAAGGGGATTAGGGAAGTTCTAACTGCCCCCAAGGATCACTTAGTGAAAGCTGTAAATGTTTTTAAATTACCTATTGCTATGTAAGAAATTACCACAAATATAGCAGCTGATAATAACATGTATTATCTCACATTTTCTGTAGGTTAGAAACCCAGGTATAGCTATACTGGTTCCTCTGCCTTAGAGTTTCTTACAAGGTGTTAATCAGAGTGTCTGCCATGGCTGGTTTCTATCTGAAAGCTGAACTGGGGAAGGATCCACTTCCAGGCTTCGGTGATTGTTGGAAGGATTAAGTTCCTTGACGAGTGTTAGACTGACATCCTCAGTTCCTTAAGGGCTAGTGGCCAGAGGCTGACCTCAGTTCCCTGCCATGTGAGCCTTTCTGCTCCATCAAAACTTGCAAGCAAAGAGGGCAGAAGACAGAGTCATCTAGCAAGACAGAAGTGGGTATCTCATATGACCTCATTACAGAAGTGACGTCACTTTTGCCATATTCTGTGGTTAGAAGCACGTCACAGGTCACACCCATTTTCAAGTGGAGATTTCACCAGGCAGCAGGATCACTGGTTGCCATCTTAGGATCTGTGTGTATAGGGATATTCCTGGTCAGAGATACCAAGAAAAGTGGTTAGCCAGGCCTCTTGCCTGGACAGTATCACACAGGCTGGACCATCACTAAACAAGGAGTAACCCAGGTCCTGGGATAGACCAGATGATCTGCAGAGGTGAGCTGTGTTTATGAAAGCAAATCCTTGGATCCAAAAATCAGAAATGTTACAGGAAAGGCTGCTTCTGAGTTCTCTGTGAACCTGGGAGGGCATGGCCTCTTAATATTTGTCCCTGTTACTTTTCAGACCTCCTGCATCTCTAAAGAACCACCATCACTAAGTCAACTTTATAATTCAAAATAACTATTTTGAGACAGGGTCTCACTGTTGCCCAGGCTGTAGTGCAGTGTTGCAATCACAGCTCATTGCAGCCATGACCACCCTGGGCTCAGGTGACCCTCCTGCCTCAGCTTCCCAGATAGCCGAGATTACAGGGGCATACCACCATGCCTGGCTAATTTTCATAGTTTTTTTTTAAAGACAAGGTTTCATCATGTTGCCCTGGCTGGTCTCAACTCCTGGGTTCAAGTGATCTGCATGCCTTGGCCTCCCAAAGTGCTGGGATTACAGGCAGAAGCCACAGTGCCCATCCTCAAAGTTATTTTTTAAATATCAGATGCACAAAGTTTAAAAACTTAATGTGGCCGGGTGCAGTGGCTCGTGCCTGTAATCCTAGCACTTTGGGAGGCTGAGGTGGGCAGATCACAAGGTCAGGAGTTCGAGACCAGCCTGGCCAATATGGTGAAACCCTGTCTCTACTAAAAATGAAACAGCCTGGTGTGGTGGCACATACCTTGTAGTCCCAGCTACCCAGGAGGCTGAGGAAGGAGAATTGCTTGAACCCAGAGGTGGAGGTTGCAGTGAGCTGAGATAGTGCCACTGCACTCCAGCCAGGGCAACAGAGCAAGACTCCATCTCAAAAAATATATATATAATAAAAATATATATATGGTGAAAAATAAATTCTGTCCTCTATCCCATCAACAGTTTTTCCAAATTCCCTACGTGGACACAACCACTGTTACCAGTTTCTACAGTATTACAGATGGAGGTTTCCCTTTTTTTCCAGATATTTTACCACGTGGAATCTGCAGCTTTATATTCACTTAATGATATGTTTTGAGATTATTCCATTTTTAACATCCCGATCTTGTTCAGTTTAAGATATTGATGACAAGATACTGATAATTCTATTGCCCCTGATATTTTAAAATTTGCAAGTTACAGCAAAAAGTATCCTTATTCCACACCACTGGTACAAGTCTGTTTTGCATTGCTTTGTAGGAATATCCTAGACTGGGTAATTTATTTTTAAAAGATTTTTATTTCTTTTAAAACTCCTCACAGTTCTGCAGGCTGACACAACGTGTGGCACCAGCATCTGCTTCTGTTCAGGGCCTCAAAACTTTGAGATGGAAAGCAAATAGGGAGCAGATGTGTTACAGGGCAAGGGAGTGAGCTAAAGAGAGAGAAGGTAGTAGAGCCAGGCTCTTTTTAACAGTGAAGTCTCACAGTAACAAATAGAGTGAGAACTCACTCATATTTATGAGGAGGGCACGAAGCCATTCATGACGGATACCTCTCATGACCCAAACACTTCCCACTAGGACCAACCTCCAACACTGGGGGTCACATGTCAACATAAGATTTGGAAGGGACAAATGTCTAAACTATATCACCAATGGAGTTATCTGGGCACATAGCAGCCCTGATTAAAAGCTTCATTCTACACCCTTTCTTGAGGCTAGGTCTAAATTTTGGCCAATAAGATGAAGCAGATGTGAAGTTGTAAGTTTTGCCCTTAAAGGTCAGGGCTGTTTTCTCTGTTCCTGCTTTCCCTTCCCTCCTTAAGGACCATAGACATGGTCTGGGTACTCCAAGTCATGGTAATAAGGGCAATACCCTTATTATAATTATTATAATAATAGCAGAGAAGGAAGACCATAGGAGCCCAGATGCCTGGACAACTTCATAATGCAGAAATGCCCTAGTGGCCCTGGAGTGTCTGCCTCACTTTCATGGGAAACATACACCCTGCTTTCCTATTTGACCGTCTGGGTTGCTGCTGCACACAACTGAATTGATACCCTATCTAGTAAGTAGAGAGAGATTAGGACTTCTGAGGAGTGAGGAGCTGTAGTCTGTTCTGGAGATGAGCAGAGACATATTTAGTGTTCACCACTCGGCTCCCTGGGATATTTATTCTGAGTTGAAGTAAGGGAAACCCAGGGCACTGGGGGCAGCACAGGGAGATTGGAGACTGTTATTTCCCCATATTTCTAGTCATGGAGGATTCTCTGGGGTGGTGGTGGGGGTGGGGGAGTATTTGTACTCACCAGGCATTATATTTGTGTCTTTATTCTTTCACTTCCTTTCCTCTTTACACACCAGATCCCTTACTCATTCCAGCGGAATCAGACTCTGCCTCTCCTCATCTTCCTCCTGCTTCTGCTGCTATCGGATGACAGATGCAGGGCAGTTCTTTAGGTGATCATGGACTGACACAGTTCTCTTTTATTCTTGCTTGTCGTTCTCAAAAATAACTTTAGAATGTGCTGGAAATGAAATAAATATCCTGAGATGCACAGGAACTACCTGAAATAGCCCGGACTTTATTCCTCTCCCTCCTAGGGAATGCAACATTTTGAGTTAGGGAGGAACTGCCTGGGACAGCCTGGGCTTTTGTTCCTCTCTCCTGTGGAAGCAAGATGTCCTTGAAAGCTTTTTTCAGTGATTCACAATGCCTCTGAGGCATACAACCCTGGTCAGGTTGCCTTTTGGGGACCTTCAGCTGTGGTGCAATTAGGGCACATGCAGTTGAGACTCCATCCACCATTGGCAACTTTGTTGAGCCTGAAGGGACTGGCTCATAGTGCTTCTAGGCTTCTGTTGTCCCTTGCTGCCTATTTGTATGTAGTAAACCTGCGTCATATAGCTGGTTGGGTGTTCGTTCTCTCACCATACTTGGCAGTTGGTAAAACCAACCCAGGGTGCAGCATTCTGACTCCTAATTTTGTTGGTTGACATAATGATAGTTTTTCCTATTCTCTATACAGTGTGAGTCCTCCCTTGGGATTGGTTATTTGTGAACCTGCTTCACAGCAAGGACCGTGGAGGTTGAGGATGAGAGAAACAACCCCTCAGGTTTAAAAGAAAAAGAAAAAAGGGAATACAGGGTCGTTTACCATCAGTTTTGTGGGGCAACCTGACACATTTGACCCCTGATGTCTCTAAAATACATATTCCATTATAAATAGAATACTTACCATATTCTGATTATTACAAACATTTCATTAGGTCCAGCTAACACTTCAAAGCTGAGGATTACATAAGGGCACAAATACCGGGAGAGGAGGATCTTCGGGGGCCAGCTTTGTGCCTGCCTACCACAAAGGTGACCTGAGAACCACCTAATGCACAGATTCTCACAGTGCTGTAGGAAGGTGTGCAGAGATTAGGAGATACAGACCTGAAGTCAGGATTTGGTGCTCAACCTTAGTAATACAAATCAAAATTATGATCCTAGAAAGGTGGTCCACAATTTCTGGTAATACTGGGGTTAAAAGCAGCAATTTTGGTAGGTAGAAAACTAAAGGTGAGGAAATGAAAAGAAGGCTAGCTGTGCTAATAGTTAATGTTCTCTGCCATTTTTCTCATGGACCAGAGAATCTGCAAATCTCCTTCTGTTTAATGATTATGTGGTTTAATAATCATACTCTGGCTGAACAGCCTTGTCCTTCTCCGAGAACATAGATTATCCAGCTGCCCTGCCCACAGATCTCTGCAGCCCAAGCCACCGAGGCACTCAGAGACACTTTCCAGGTTGAATACAGCTAAATAAACTGCACAACGTTTACACGACTGCATCCAGCCAGAACAGGCCAACACATCCTACCCAACATCTCAAACCCATCTGCAGGTGAAACTTTATCTGCATGAAAGCTACTCTACACAATTGGAAGAAGAGACTTCTAGGAGATGCGCAGATAACAATGCAAAAACATGAAAAACAAGGAAACATGATAATGCTAAAGAAACAATAATTAGTAGCCAATCCAGAAGAAATTATCTGAAAATAAATTCAAAATAATTTTAAGAAAACTGAACTAGATATAGGAGAATACAAATAGATAACTCAGCAAAACCAGAAAATCAATTCATGATCTGAATGAGAAATTTGACAAAGGGTAGATATTATGCCTGTACATCCAACACTTTGGGAGGCCAAGATGGAAGGATCACTAGAGTCCAGGAGTTTGAGACTAGCCTGGGCAACATAGAAAAAAGATAAAAGAATAACGGAAAAAAAAAAAAAAACATCAAATCTTAAAGAAATCCAGTGAGTGAAAAAATGCAGTCAAGAGCTTTAACAACAGCCTAAAGACTCAGGCAGCATTAAGAAAATTTGTAGCACTAAATGCCCACATCACAAAGTCAGTAATATCTCAGATTAATAACCTAACATCACTACTAAAAGAACTAGAGAAGCAAGAGTACCCCAAACCCAAAGCTAGCAGAACATAAGAAATAATCAAAATCAGAGCTGAACTGGAGACTGAGACATGAAAAACCATTCAAAAGATTCACAAATCCAGGAGTTCTATTTTTAAAAAAATTAATAAGGTAGACCACTAGCTAGACTAATAAGAAAATATCCAAATAACATAATTAGAAGTGACTAAGAAGATATTACCACTGACCCCACAGAAATACAAATAACCATTAGAGTCTATTATGATCACCTGTCTGTACACAAACTAGAAAATTTAGAAGAGATGGATAAATTCCTGGAAACATAAACCTTCTCAAGACTAAACTAGGAATAAACTGATTCCCTGAACAGAGCTCCAAAATAGAATCAATAACAAATATCCTCCCAACCAAAAAAATCCCAGGACCAGTTGGATTCACAGCCAAATTCTACCAGGTGTACCAAGAAGAGCTGGTACCATTCCTACTGAAACTATTCCAAGAAATTGAGGAGGAGGGACTCCTCCCTAATTTATTCTATGAGGCCAGCATTGTTCTGATACCAAAATCTAGCAGAGACACAACAAAAAAAAGGTAACTTCAGGCCAATATTCTTGATAACATTGATGGGAAAATCTTCAAAATATTTGGAAACTAAATCCAGCAGCATATCAAAAAGCTAATCCACCACAATCAAGTAGGCTTTATTGCAAGATTGGTTGAGTAGACCCAAAACAATAAATATAACTCATCACGTAAACAGAACTAAAAGCAAAAACCATATAATTATCTCACTCAATAAAATTCAGCATCACTTTATGTTAAAAGCCTTTTAATAAAATTCAGCATCACTTTATGTTAAAAGCCTTTTAATAAAATTCAGCATCACTTTATGTTAAAAATTCCCCATAAAGCCTGGGTGCGGTGGCTCATGCTTGTAATTCCAGCACTTTGGGAGGCCGGGGCAGGTGGATCACAAGGTCAGGAGTTCAAGACCAGCTTGACCAACGTGGTGAAACCCCATCTCTCCTAAAAATACAAAAACTAGCCAGGCACGGTGGCATGTGCCTGTAATTCCAGCTACTCAGGAGGCTGAGGCAGGAGAATCGCTTGAATCTGGGAGACAGAGGTTGCAGTGAGCTGAGATCATGCCACTGCACTCCAGCCTGGGTGACAGAGCAAGATTCCATCTAAAAAAAAAAAAAAGAAAAAAAATCCCCATAAACTAGGTGTTGAGGAAACAGAATTATAAGAGCCAACTATGGCAAACCCACAGCCAGTATCATACTGAATGGGCAAAATCTGCAACCATTCCCCTTGAAAAGTGGTACAAGACAAGGAAGCCTTTTCTCACTACTCCTATTCAACAGTGTTGAAAGGCCTGACCACAGCGATCAGGCAACAGAAATAATAGAGGGCATCCAAATAGGAAGAGAGGAAGTCAAACTATCATTGTTTACAGACACCATGATTTTATATCTAGAAAACCCTAAAGGTCCTTTAGCTGATAAACAATTTCAGCAAAGTTTCAGGAGACAAAATCAATGTACAAAAATTACTAACATTCCTATACACAGCAGCCAAGCCAAGAGCCAAATCAGGAGCACAATCACATTAATAATTGCCACAAAAAGAATAAAATACCTAGGAATGCAGCTAACTAAGCCAGTAAAGGATCTCTACAACCAGAAACACAAAACATTCTTCAAAGAAATCAGAGATGACACAAACAAATGGAAAAACTTTCAATGCTTATGGCTAGGAAGAATCAATATCATTAGAGTGGCCATACTACCCAAAGCAATTTATAGATTCAATGCTATTCCTTTCAAACTATCAATTATAGTCTTTACAGGACTAGTAAAACTTTTCAAATTCATATGGAATCAAATAGCCTGACTAGTCAAGGCATTCCTAAGGAAAAAGGACAAAGTGGAGGCATCACATTACCTAACTTCAAACTATAGGGTTACTGTAACCAAAACATCATGGTACTGGTACAAAAGCAGACACATAGACCAATGGGACAGAATAGAACGCCCAGAAATAAGGCTGCACATCTACAGCCATCGGATCTTCAACAAAATTGACAAAAACAAGCAATGGGGAAATAGCTCCCTATTCAGTAAATGGTGCTGGGATAACTGGCTAGCCATATGCAGAAGATCATGACCCCTTATACTATGTACAAAAATTAAGATGATTTAAAGACCAACCCAAAATTATAATCCCGTAGATAACTTAGGGAGTACTATTATGGACATTGGAACTGTAGGAATTTGGTCAGGGTGGTGGGATAAATCATAAGAGAAAAATTACAGAGAACAGGATGCAAACCTTTTCAAAACTTGAGAAAGAAATATCTAGGAACAAGCAGGTAAGGGAACACCAAACAGATTTGACCTAAAGAAGACTACCCCCAAGTGTATACAAGGGGACTTCAACAAGTTGAAGAAAAATGCATATATGAAAAACTATGCATGGATTTCAAAATCTTTTGTGTCAAAATAAACATGTCTGAAATGAATTTAGTTTGAGGCACAAGGGAGAATAAGGCATAAGTTCAAAAAGAGCCTTGGTGCCCACAAAGTGAATACGGCTTAGATCACAGCACCCAAATTCTTTCAAATATCTGGAAAGTTTTTCCAAGAAGGATGACTACAACTAATTCCAGACAGTGAAAACTACAATAAATACTGGACTCTTCAATACCCAGATACTGAAAAATAACTGCTAGCATCCAGGAAAACATGCCCTCACCAAATGAACTAAATAAGGCACAAGAGACCGATCCTGGATAAACCCAGATATGTGACCTTTCAGACAGATAATTCGAAGTAGCCATGTTGAAGAAATTCAAGGCCAGGTGCACTGGCTCATGCCTTTAATCCCAGCTCTTTGGGAGGCTGAGGCGGATGGATCATGAGGTCAAGACATCAAGACCATCCTGGCCAACATGGTGAAACCCCATCTCTACTAAAAAGAAAAAAAATTAGCTGGGCCTATAGTCCCAGCTACTCAGGAGGCTGAGACAGGAGAATTGCGTGAACCGAGGAGGTACAGGTTGTGGTGAGCCAAGATCATGCTGCTGCACTCCAGCCTGCTGGCAGAGCTAGACTCCAACTCAAAACAAAAGAGAGAGAGAGAGAGAGAGAGAGAGAGAGAGAGAGAGAGAGAGAGAGAGAGAATACATAGTCAAGTAAATAAAGGGGAAAATACAAATTCAGAGGAGATAAAAAATAAAAAACAATAATGTGTGCCTACAGGATCTAGAAAATAGCCTCTACGGGGCAAATCTATCTATCTCCCTCTCTCTCTATATATATATATAGAGAGAGGAATAGAAAGTTTATTCAAAGGGATAGCAACACTGAACTTCCTAAACCTAGAGAAAGATATCTATATCCAAGTACAAGAAGGTTATAGAACACCATGCCAATTTAACCCAAAGAAGACTACCTCAAGGCATTTAATAATCAAATTCCCAAAGGTTAAGGGTAAAGAAAGGACCCTAAATGAGAAAGGAGAGAATAGAAACAAACAACATACTATGGAGCTCCAATACATCTGGCAGCATATTTTTCAGTGGAAACCTTACAGATCAGGAGAGAGTGACATGACATATGTTAAAGTGCTGAAGGGAAAAAAACTTTTACCCTAGAATAGTATATCCAACAAAAATATCCTTCAAACATGAAGAATACATGGAGACTTTCCCAGACAAACAAAAGCTGAAGGATTTCATCAACACTAGACTGGGCCCATAAGAAATGCTTAAGGGGGGAGTACTTCAGTCAGAAAAGGACATTAATGAGCAACGAGAAATAATCTGAAGGTACAAAACTCACTGGTAAGAGTACACAGAAAAGCATAACATTGTAACTGTGGTGTGTAAGTAGAAAGAATAATAAACCAAAAATAATAGCTGCAACAACTTTTCAAGACATGGTGCAATAAGACAAAAATCAGAAACAACAAAAACTTAAAAATTGGGTGGATGAAGTTAAGGTGTAGAGTTATTTTGTTTTTGTTTATTTGTTAATGCAAACAGTGTTATCAGGTTAAAATAATGGGTTATAAAATAGGATTTGTAGTACTCATGGTAACCTTAAATCAAAAAACATACACTGGATACATAAAAAATAGAAAGCAAAAACCTAAATCATATCATCAGAGAAAATTACGTTCCTGAAAGGAAGACAGGAAGAAAAGAAGAAGACCACAAAACAACCAGAAAATAAATAAATAACATGGCAGGAATAAGTCTTTGCTTATCAATAATAACACTGAATGGAAATGGACTAAATAACTCTCCAATCAAAAGACATAGACTGGCTGAATGAATGAAAAAAACAAGACCTATTGGTCTGTTGCCTACTAGAAACACACTTCACCTATAAAGACACACATAGACTGAAAGTTAAGAGTTGGAAAGATATTCCATGCCAGTGGAAACCAGGAAAAAGAACAGGAGTATAGATTTTGATACAAAAACTACAAGAAAAGACAAAGTCATTATACAATGATAAAGAGGTTAATATGGTTTCCGTTTTTGTGTCCCCACCCAATTTTTGTGTTCTATTGTAATCCTCAGTGTTGAAGGTGGGGTCTAGTGGGAGGTGATTGGATCATGGGGTGGATTCTTCATGAATAATTCGGCACCATCCTCTTAGTGCTCTACTCATGATAGTGAGTTCTTCTGAAATCTGGTTGCTTAAAAGTATGTAGCACCTCCCCACACCAGCCACCTGCCTTGGTCCTACTCCTGCTATGTAGATGTTTGCTCCCACTTTGCATTCTTCCATGCCTGAAAGCCACCTCATGCATTCCCAGAATCAGATGCTGCTATGCTTCCTATACAGCCTGTGAAACTGTGACCCAATTTAACCTCTTTTCTTCATAAATTAGTCTTGATATTTATTTATAGCAGTGCAAGAACAGAATAATACAGAAAATTGGTACAGAGGGGTGAGGCATTGCTATAAAGACACCTGAAAATATGGAAGCAGCAGTGGAACTGGGTAAGAGACAGAGGTTGGAGGAGTGTGTAGGTTCCCAGAAGATGAGAGAAAGTGATATGGATAATGAAGTCCAGGCTGAGGAGGTCTCAGATGGAGATGGGGAACTTATTGGGACCTAGAGTGAAGGTCACTTTTGTTATATGTTAGCAAAGAGGTTGGAGATATTGTGCCCTTGCCCTAGGAATCTGTGGAACTTTGAACTTGAGAATGATGATTTAGGGTATCTGGCAGAAGAAATTGCCAAGGGGCAAAGCATTTAAGAAGTGACCTGGCTGCTTTTGGTAGCCTATGCTCATATTTGTGAGCAAAGACATGACCAGAAACTGGAACTTACATTTAAAAGGGAAGCAGAGAGAGAGGAGATCCAAGATGGCAGTTTAGGAGAAGCTCAGGATTGCAGCTCCCAGTGAAAGCGCAGAGGGTGAGTGGACACCACATTTCCAGATGGATCTTTATTGCCCACAGACCAGGAGATTCCCAGGCAGAGGAGCCCCATGGGTTGCCAGCACAGCTATTTTGGCCAGCATGGCAGTTCTCCATACAAAATACACTGGTCTGGTTGCCCTTTTAAGCTGGCGATTGGAGCTCCGGGAAGGCAGAGTCACCCATTCATCTGATTAAACGGGACAGAAACAGGGAGCCAGGCCAGGAGATTCCCCAGGCAGTGCAATTGTTTCAGCTTGCGCAGTGGGTCGCCGTACAGGAAATCACACAGATCCTGGCCCCTTTTCAGCAGGATACTGGAACACCTGGGAGAGAGTCAACCGTTCAACTTAAAAAAAAAAAAAGGCTCTGAGGCAGGGAGTCAGGTGATTAGGCTCGGTGGGTCACACACACACACACACACACACACACACACAGACACACAGAAATAGCAATTGGAAATGTCCTGGGTTGAGAGTTTCATGGCAAGCACAGGTGAACCAGGGACGTCCATCATTGCTGAGGCACTCCACCCCCTATGGAGGTAGTCCACCATTGCTGAGGCAGCACCACCATTGTCGAGGCAACCTGCCACTACAGAGAGAGCCCGCCATTACAGAGGTGGGTCACCATTGCCGAGGAAGTTCTAACCACACCCATATAAACAGGACTGCAGGGAAGTTCACATTGCAGCAGGGTGGAGCCCACAGCAGCTCAGCAAAGCCTCTGCAGGCAGACAGTGACTAGGCTGCCTCCTTGCTGGGCAGGGCAGCCCTGAAAAAAAAAAACAAAACAGCAGCACAATGGAAACTCATAAATAAAGCCCAAACTTCCTGGGACAGAGCACCTAGGGAAAAAACAGGGGTTTATGAGTTCTGTGCAGCAGACTTAAATGCACCTGCCCAGCAGCTTGGAACAACAGAGCTCACAGCTCAGCACTTGAACTCTTATAAAGGACTGACTGTCTCCTCAAGCAGCTCTCTGACCCCCATATATCCAAAGAGTCACCTCACAAAGGACTGATGAGACTGATATTTGGCGGGCATCATTCTGGGACAAAGATAGCAGAAGAAGAAACTGGTAGCAACCCTTACTGTTCTGCAGCTGCCGCAGGTGATCCCCAGGCAAGCAGGGCCTGGAGTGGACCTCAGCAGTCCTACAGCAGAGGGGCCAGACTGTTAGAAGGAAACATAAGAAAGAGAAATACTTCATCTTCAACAATCTGGGCCTCCACTCAGAGACCCAATCTGAAAATCAGCAACTACAAAGATGACAGGTGGATAAATCCACAAAGATGGGAAGAGACCAGCGCAAAAAGGAGGAAAACACCCAAAACTAGAACACCTCTCCTCCTACAAGGGATCACAACTCCTCACCGGCAAGGGAACAAAGCTGGATGGAGAATGAGTGTGATGAAATTACAGAATCAGACTTGAGAACGTGGGTAATGAGAAACTTTTGTGAGTTAAAAGAACATGTTCTAACCCAATGCAAAGAAACTAAGAACTTTGAAAAATGATTTGATGAAATGCTAATGAGAATGCACAACTTAGAGAGGCATCTAAGTGAATTGATGGAGCTGAAAAACACAATAAGAGAACTTTGCGAAGCATGCACAAGTTTCAACAGCTGAATTGACCAAGCAGAAGAAAGGATATCAGAGGTCGAGGATCAACTCAACGAAATAAAACGAGAAGGCAAGCTTAGAGAAAAAAAGCACAAAAAGGAATGAACAAAGTCTCCAAGAAATATGGGACTATGTGAAAAGACCTAATCTACGTTTGATAGGTGTACCTGAATGTGACGAAGAGAATGAATCCAAGCGGAAAAATACTCTTCAGGATATTATCCAGGAAAACTTCCCCAACCTAATAAGGCAGGCCAATATTCAAGTCCAGGAAATACAGAGAACACTACAAAGATATTCCTCAAGAAGAGCAATCCCAAGGCACATAATCATCAGATTCACCAGGGTTGAAATGAAGGAGAAAATGCTAAGGGCAGCCAGAGAGAAAGGTCGGGTTACCCACAAAGGGAAGCCCATCAGACTCACAGCAGATCTCTCAGCAGAAACCCTACAAGCCAGAGGAGAGTGGGGGCTGATATTCGACATCCTTAAAAAAAAGAACTTTCAACCCAGAATTTCATATCCAGCCAAACTGAGCTTCATAAGTGAAGGAAAAATAAAATCCTTTGCGAACAAGGAAGTACTCAGAGATTTTGTCACCACCAGGCCTGCTTTACAAGAGCTCCTGAAAGAGGCACTACACATAGAAAGGAACAACCAGTACCAGCCACTCCAAAAACATACCAAATGCTAAAGAGCATCAACAAAATGAAGAATCTGCATCAACTAATGGGCAAAACAGCCAGCTAGCATCAAAATGGCAGTATCAAATTCACACATAACAATATTAACCCTAAATGTAAATGGACTAAATGCCCCAATCAAAAGACACAGACTGGCAAACTGGATAAAAAGCCAAAACCCATTGGTGTACTGTATCCAGGAAATGCATCTCACATGCAAGGATACACAAAGGCTCAAAATAAAGGGATGGAGGAAGATTTACCAAGCAAATGGAGAGCAAAAAAAGTAGGAGTTGCAATTCTCGTCTCTGATAAAATAGACTTTAAAGCAACAAAGATCAAAAGAGATAAAGAAAGACATTACATAATGGTAAAAGGCTCTTGATGCAACAAGAAGAGCTAACAATCCTAAATATATATGCACCCAATACAGGAGCACCTAGTTACCTATGGCAAGTTCTTAATGACTTGCAAAGAGACTCAGACTCCTACACAATAATAGTGGGAGCCTTTAACACCCAATTGTCAATATTAGATAGATCAACCAGACAGAAAATTAACAAGGATTTCCAGGACTTGAACTCAGACCTGGAACAAGCAAACCTAATAGACATTTACAGAACTCTCCACGCCAAATCCACAGAATATATATTCTTCTCAGCACCACATCACACCTAGTCTAAAATTGACCACATAATTGGAAGTAAATCACTCCTCAGTAAATGCAAAAGAATAGAAATCATAACAAACCATCTCTCAGACCACAGTGCAATCAAGTTAGAACTCAGAATTCAAAAACTAACTCAGAACCAAACAGCTTCATGAAAACTGAACAACTGGCTCTTGAATGTTCACTGGATAAACAATGAAATGAAGGCAGAAATAAAGATGTTATTCGAAACCAACGAGAATGAAGACACAACATACCAGAATCTCTGGGACACATTTAAAGCAGTCTCTAGAGGAAAATATATAGCAATAAGTGCCCACATGAGATGCAAGGAGAGATCCAAAATGACACTCTATCATCAAAATTGAAAGAGCTAGCGGGGCAAGATAAAAAAAACTAAAAACCTAACAGAAGACAAGAAATAACTAAGACCAGAGAAGAACTGAAGGAGATAGAGACACGAAAAACCCTTCAAAACAGTCAATAAATCCAGGAGCTGGTTTTTCAAAAAGATCAACAAAATAGATAGATCACTAGCCAGATTAATAAAAAAGAAAATAGAGAATCACCAAATAGATGCAATAAAAAACGATAAAGGGGAAATCACCACAGATTCCACAGAAATTCAAACCATCATCAGAGAATATTACAAACAACTCTATGCACATCAACTACCAAACCTGGAAGAAATGGATAAATTCCTGGACACTTGCCTCCTCCCAAGCCTAAACCAGGAAGAAGTCAAAACCCTGAATAGACCAATAACAAGATCTGAAGTTGAGGCAACAATTAAGAGCCTACCACACAAAAAAAGCCCAGGTCCAGAAGGGTTCACAGCCGAATTCTACCAGACACACAAAGAGGAGCTGGTACCATTTCTTCTGAAACTATTCCAAATAATCCAAAAAGAGGGAATCCTTCCCAAATTATTTTATGAGACCAACATCATCCTGATACCAAAACCTGGCAGAGACTCAACAAGAAAAGAAAACTTCAGGCCAATATCCATGATGAACATAGATGCAAAAATCTTCAATAAAATACTGGCAAGCTGATTGCAACAGCACATCAAAAACTTATTGACCATGATCAAGTAGCATTCATCCCAGGGATGCAAGGCTGGTTCAACATATGCAAATCTATAAACGTAATTCACTACATAAACAGAACCAAAGACAAAAACCACATGATTATCTCAATTGATGCAGAGAAGGCCTTTGACAAAATTCAACAGTGCTTTATGCTAAAAACTCTCAATAAACTAGGTATTGATGGAACGTATCTCAAAATAATAAAAGCTATTTACAACAAACCAACAGCCAGTATTATACAGAATGGGCAAAAACTGGAAGCATTCCCTTTGAAATCCGGCACTAGACAAGGATGCCCTCTTTCACCACTCCTATTCAATATAGAACTGGAAGTTCTTGCCAGAGCAATCAGGCAAGAAAAACAAATAGAGGGTATTCAGATAGGAAAGGAGGAAGCCAAATTGTCTCCATTTGCAGACAATATGATTGTATATCTAGAAGACCCCATCGTCTCAGCCCAAAATCTCCTGAAACTGATAAGCATCTTCAGCAAAGTCTCATAAAACAAAATCAATGTGCAAAAATCACAAGCATTCCTATACACCAATAACAGACTTAAAGCCAAATCAAGAATGAACTGCCACTCACAATTGCTACAAAGAGAATAAAATACCTAACAAGGAATGTAAAGGACCTCTTCAAGGAGAACTACAAACCACTGATCAACAAAATAAGAGAGGACACTAACAGATGAAAAATCATTCCATGTTCATGGTTAGGAATAATTAATATTGTGAAAATGGCCATATTGCCCAAAGTAATTTATAGATTCAATGCTATCCCCATCAAGCTACCAATGACCTTCTTCACAGAACTGGAAAAAACCACCTGAAACTTCATATGGAACCAAAAGAGAGCCCACATAGTCAAGTCAATCTAAGCAAAAAGAACACAGCGGGAGGTGTCACACTACTGGACTTCAAACTATACAAGGCTACAGTAATGAAATCAGCATGGTACTGGTACCAAAACAGAGATATAGACCAATGGAACAGAACAGAGGCCTCAGAGGCAACACAACATATCCACAACCATCCGATCCTTGACAAACCTGACAAAAACAAGCAATGGGGAAAGGAGTCCCTGTTTAATAAATGGTGTTGGGAAAACTGGCTAGCCATGTGCAGAAAGCAGAAACTGGACCCCTTCCTGACACCTTACACTAAAATTAACTCCAGATGGATTAAAGACTTAAACATAAGACCTGGCACCATAAAAACCCTAGAAGGAAATCTAGGCAAAACCATCCAGGACATAGGAGTAGGCAAGGACTTCATGACCAAAACACCAAAAGCATTGGCAACAAAAGCCAACATAGACAAATGGGACCTAATCAAACTCCACATCTTCTGCACGGCAAAAGAAACAGTCATTAGAGTGAATTGGCAGCCAACAGAATGGGAAAAATTTTTGTAGTTTACCCATCTGACAAAGGGCTGATATCCAGAATTTACAAAGAACTAAAACAGATTTGCAAGAACAAAGCAAACAAGCCCATTCCAAAGTGGGCAAAGGATATGAACAGATACTTTACAAAAGAAGACATACATGAGGTCAACAAACATATGAAAAAATGCTCATCATCACTGGCCATTAGAGAAATGCAAATCAAAACTACATTGAATAGTTTTGCCAAAACTACATTGAGTAGTCACGCCAATTAGAATGGCGATCATTAAAAAATCTGGAGACAACAAATGCTGGAGAGGATGTGGAGAAATAGGAACACTTTTACACTGTTGGTGGGAGTGTAAATTAGTTCAACCATTGTGGAAGACAGTGTGGCGATTCCTCAAGGACCTAGATATAGAAATTCCATTTGACCCAACAATCCCATTACTCGGTATATATTCAAAGGATCGTAAATCATTCTACTATAAGGACACATGCACAGGAATGTTCATTGCAGCCCTGTTTTATAACAAAGACCTGGAACCAACCCAAATGCCCATTGATGATAGACTGGACAGGGAAAATGTGGCACATATACACCATGGAATATTATGCAGCCATCAAAAATGATGAGTTCGTGTCCTTTCTAGGGACATGGATGAACCTGGAGAACATCATTCTCAGCAAACTGACACAAGAACAGAAAATGAAATACCGCATGTTCTCACTCAGAGGTGGGTGTTGAACAATGAGAACACATGGACACAGTGGGGTCTGTTGGGGGGAATAGGGGAGGGACACCGGGGGGGGGCAGTTGGGGAGAGATAGCATGGGGAGAAATGCCAGATATAGGTGAAGGGGAGGAAGACAGCAAATCACACTGCCACGTGTGTACCTATGCAACTATCTTGCATGTTCTTCACATGTAACCCAAAACCTAAGATGCAATAACAAAAAATAAAAGGGAAGCAGAGTGAAAGAAAACCCTGTTTTCTGGAGAGGAATTCAAGCTAGCTGCAGAAAATTGCAAGTAACAAGGAACCAAATGATGATAGCTAAGAATGGATAAACACCTTGAAGGCATTTCAGATACCTTGTGGCAGCCTCTCCCTTCACAGGCACAAAGGGCTATGAGGGAAGAATGGTTTCCTGGGCCAGGCTCAGGATCCTGCTGCCTTGCACAGCCTCAGGAAACCTCTCTCCAAATCCCAGCTGCCCCAGCTGCAGTTTCAGCTCAAAAGGCCACATGTACAGCTCAGGTTGCTGCTCCAAAGGGTGCAAGTTGTAAGCCTTGGTGGCTCCCATGTGGTGTTAAATTAAGCCTGTCGATGCACAGGGGGCAAGAATTGAAGTTTGGGAGACCCCACCTAGTTTTCAGCGTATATGTTGGGAAGCCTGGTTGTCTATGAAGAACCTCTACTAGGGCAGAGTGGAGGGGAAATTTGGGGTTGGAGCTCCTACACAGATTCCCCTCTGGGGTACTAGTGGAACTGTGAGAAGAGGGCCACTGCCCCCCAGACCCCAGGATGGCAGATCTGCCAATGACAGCTTGCACAGTGCATCTGGAAAAGCCAAGGCACTTGATGCCAGCTCATGAAAGCAGCCACAGTGGCTGTACCCTGCAAAGTTCCAGGGGCTGCCCAAGGCCTTAAGAGCCCACGCCTTGCACCAGTGTTCCCTGGATGTGAGACATGGAGTCAAAGGAGACTATTTTGGAGCTTTAAGATTTAATGACTACCCTGCTGAGTTTCAGACTTGCACGGGCCCTGTAGCCTCTTTCCTTTGGCCAATTTCTCACTTTTCAAATGGGAGTATTTACCCAATTCCTGTACCCCCACTGTGTGTTGAAAGTAACTACTTTTAATTTTACAGGTTCACAGGTGGGAGGGACTTGCCTTGTTTCATGTAAGACTTTGGACTTTGGAATTAATGCTGGAATGAGTTAACACTTTGAGAGACTGTTGGGAAGGCATGACTGTATTTTGCAGTATCAGAAAGACATAAGATTTGGAGAGGCCAGGGGTGGAATAATAGGGTTTGAATCTGCATCCCCCACCAAAATCTCATGTTCAATTATAATCCTAAATGTTGGAGGTGGGGCCTGGTAGAAGATGATTGTATCATGGGGTGGCTTCTCATGGTTTAACACCATCCCCCTGGGTGCTGTTCTCATGACAGTGAGTTATTGTGAAATCTGATTGTTTAAAAGTGTGTGGCACTTTCTCCCACCTTCCTGCTGCTCCAGCCATCTAAGACATGCCCACCTCCCCTTCACCTTCTGCCATAATTGTAAGTGTAAGTGTTCTGAAGGTCTCTTCAGTCATGCTTTCTGTACAGCCTGCAGAACTGTGAGCCAATTAAACTTCTTTTCTCTATGTATTACCCAGTCTCAGGTATTTCTTTATAGTAGTGCAAGAATAGACTAATACAGGGTTCAGTTCAGAAAGAGGATATAACAAATATAAATATATATATACACACAACACTGGAGCACCCAGATATATAAAGCAAATATGATTAGAGCTAAAGAGAGAGAGCGACCCCAATACAATAATAGCTGGAGACTTCGGCACCACATTTTCAGCATTGGACATATCTTCCAGACAGAAAATCAAAAAAGAAACATCAGACTTAATCTACACTATAGATCAAACAGACCTGATACATACTTACAGAATATTTTATTCAATGTGTATCATTCTCAAGGATAGATCGTATGTTAGGTCGCAAGTCTTAAAACGTTAAAAAGTTGAAAAATATCAAGCATCATATACAGCTAGAAGTTAATACCAAGAAGAATTTCAGAAACTATACAAATACATGAAAATTAAACAATATGCTCCTGAATGACTACTGAGTCAATGAAGAAATTAAGAAGGAAATTGATCAATTTCTTGAAATGAATGAGGAAACACAACATACCAAAGCCTCTGGGATATAGCAAAGCAATACTAAGAGGCAAATTTATAGTGATAAGTGCCTACATCAAAAAAGAGAAAAAACTTCAAATAAGCAATCTAACAATAAACCTTAAAGAACTAGAAAAGCAAGAGCAAACCAAACCTAAAGTTAGAAGAAAAGAAATAATAAAAATCAGAGCATAAATAAATAAAATTGAAATTTAAAAATGCAAGAGATGAATGAAATAAAAGTTGTTGTTTTCTTCAAAAGTTAAACAAGATTGACAAGCCTTTAGCAAGACTAAATAAAATCAGAAATGAAAAAGACATTACAACTGACACTGCAGAAATTCAAAGGATTATTAGTAGCTACTATGAGCAACTATATGCCAATAAATTGGAAAATCTAGAAGAAATTGGCATTTCCTAGACACATACATCCTACTGAGATTGAATCAGGAAGAAATCCAAAACCTGAATAGACTAATAACCAGTAACAAGTTGAAGCCATAATAAAATGTCTCCCACTAAAGAAAAGCCAAGGACTCAATGGCTTCACTGTTGAATTCTACCAAATATTTAAACAATAAGTAATTCCAATCTCACTCAAACTATTAAAAAGTAGAGGAGGAGAGAATATTTCCAAAGTCATTTTTGGAGACCAGTATCACCCTTATACCAAAACCAAACAAAGACGCATCAACAAAAGAAAACTACAGGCCAGTTTCTCTGTTGAATATTGGTGCCAGAATCCTCAACAAAATATTAGCAAACCAAATTCAACAATACATTAAAAACATCATTCAGCCAGCTGAAGTGGCTCACATCTGTAATCCCAGCACTTTGGGAGGCCAAGGTCGGTTGAACACGAGGTCAGGAGTTGAGATCAGTCTGACCAACATGGTGAAAAAATTAGCTGGGTGTGGTGGCATGCAGCTGTAATCCCAACTACTCGGGAGGCTGAGGCAGGAGAATCATTTGCACCCAGGAGGCAGAGGTTGCAGTGAGCCAAGAATGTGCCACTGCACTCCAGCCTGGGTGACAGAGCAAGACTCCATCTCAAAAATACAAATAAATAAATAAACAAACACAAAAAGATCATTCATCAGGTCTGGGTGCACTGGCTCATGCCTGTAATCCCAGCACTTTGGGAGGCTGAGGCAGGCAGATCACCTGAAGTCAGGAGTTCGAGACCAGACTGACTAACATGGTGAAACCTCGTCTCTACTAAAAATACAAAATTAGCTGCATGTGTTGGCACATGCCTTTAATCCCAGCTACTCAAGAGGCTGAGGCAGGAGAATCGCTTCAACTCAGGAGGTAGAGGTTGCAGTGAGCTGAGATGGTGCCACTACACTCCAGCCTGGGTGACAGAGTGAGATTCCATCTAAAAAATAATAATAATTCTTTATGAGAAATGGGATTTATCCCTGGGATGCAACTCAATCCATGTAATACATCATATCAACAGAAAGAATGAAAGAAAACCAGAAAGAATGATTAAAACCATACGATTAAAAAGAAAAGGAACAACAACAACAAAAAACCCGTATGATTATTTCTATTGATACTGAAAAGGTATTTCATAAAATCTAACATCCCTTCGTGATGAAAACTCTAAAAAAAACTGTGTAGAAAAGAAACAGATATGACAGACCCACAGCTAGTATCATACCAAATGGGGGAAAAGTGAAAGCCTTTCCTATAAGATCTGGAACACAATGAGGATGTCTACTGTCAGCACTGTTGAATAACAAAGTACTGGATGTTCTAGCTATAGCAATCAGACAAGATAAGATATAAAGGCCATCCAAATTGGAAAGGAAGAAGTTAAATTAGCCTAGTTTGCAGATGAGATGATCTTATATTTGTAAAAAACCTAAAGGCTCCACAGGAAAACTATTAGAATCAACAAATTCAGTTAAGTTGCAGTATACAAAGTCAACATACCCAAATCAGCAGCATTTCTATATGCCAGCAGTGAACAATGTGAAAAAACTTAAATTTAAAATAGTAATTTCATGTAAAATAGCCACATATAAAATTAAATATGGAATTAACCAAAAATGTGGAAAATCTCCATGAGGAAAACTATAAAACACAAATGAAAGAAATGGAAGAGGACACAAAAAAATGGAAAAATATTTTCTCTTTATGGATTGGAACAATCAATATTGTTAAACTGTCCATACTACCCAAGGCAATCTAGAGATTCAGTGCAATCCCTATCAAAACACCAATAATATTCTTCAGAATATAGGAAAAAAAATCTCAAAATGTATACGAAAATTCAGAATGCCCAGAATAGCTAAAACTATCCTAAGCAAAAAGATTAAAACCTGAGGAATCACATTACCTGACTTCAAATTATACTACAGAGCTACAGTACCAAAACAGCATGTACTGACATAAAAACAAATACATAGACCAATGGAATAGAATAGAGAACCCAGTAACAAATCCACACACCCACAGGGAACTCATTTTTGACAAAGGTGCCAAGAACTTATACTGAGGAAAAGACACTCTCTTCAATGAAATGGTGCTGGGAAAACTGGATATCCATATGCAGAAGAATGAAACTAGACCCCTTCCTCTCACTTTATAAAAAATCAAGTAAAAATATAATACTTAAATATTAAGACCTCAAACCATGAAACTACTATAAGAAAACATTGGGGAAAATCTCCAGGACACGAGTCTGGCCAAAAATTTCTTTAGCACAGGCAACCAAAATAAAATGGAACAAATAGTATCACAACAAATTAAAAAGCTTCTGCAAAGCAAAGGATACAATGAATAAAGAGACAACCCACAGAATGGGAGAAAATATTTGCAAACTACTCATCTGACAAAGAATTAATAACCAGAATATATAAGGAGCTCAAATAACTCTATAGTTAAAAAAAATCTAATAATCTGAGTAAAAAATGGGCAAAAGATTTAAATAGACATTTCTCAAAAGAAGACATACAAAGCCAGGCACTGTGGCTCACCATTGTAATCCCAGCACTTTGGGAGACCAAGGTAGGTGGGATTGAGCCCAGAAGTTCAAGACCAGACCGAGCCATATGGTCAAATCCCATTTCTGAAAACAAACAAACAAACAAACAAAAAATTCGGGAGTGATGGTGCACACCTGAAATCCCAGCTACTTAGGAGGCTGAGATGGGAGGATGGGAGGATCACCTGAGCCTGGGGAGGTTGAGGCTGCAGTAAATCATAATTTCACCAATGCACTCCAGCCTGGTGACAGAGTGAGAGATCGTGTCTCAGCCACAACAGAAAAGGACATAAAAATGGCAAACAGGCATATGAAAAACTGTGGATGATCATTGATCATCAGAGAAATGCAAATCAAAACTACAATGAGATATGATCTCACTCCAGTTAAAATGGCTTATATCCAAAAGACAGGCAATAATAAATGCTGGTGAGGATGTGGAGAAAAGGGAACCCTTGTACACTGTTGATGGGAATGTAAATTAGTACAACCACTATGGATAACAGTTTAGAGGTTCCCCAAAAAACTAAAAATTGAGTTGCCATATGATGCAGCAATCCACTGCTGGGTATATACCTGCCAAAAGAGAAAATGAGAGCTGGGCATGGTGGCTCACACCTATAGTCCTAGCACTATGGGAGGCCAAGGAGGACAGATCACTTGAGCCCAGAAGTTCAAGACCAGCCTGAGCAACATGGCAAAACCTGATTTCTACAAACCACACAAAAAAAATTAGCCAGGCGTAGTGGTGCACACCTTTAGTCTTAGCTACTGGGGAGGCTGAGGTAGTAGGATCACTTGAACCTAGGAGGCGGAGGTTGCAGTGAACCAAGATTATAGCATTGCACTCCAGTCTGCTGTGTGACCAAGTATGACCCTGTCTCAAAAAAAAAAAAAAAAAGGCTGGGTGCAGTAGCTCAGACTTATAATACCAGCACTTTGGAAGGCTGAGGCGGGTGGATCACAAGGTCAGGAGTTCAAGACCAGCCTGACCAACATGGTGAAACCTCGTCTCTACTAAAAATACAAAAAAAATTAGCCAAGCGTGGTGGCATGCACCTATAATCCTAGCTACTCAGGAGGCTGAGGTGGGAGAATCGCTTGAACCCAGAAGGCAGAGTTTGCAGTGAGCTGAGATTGTGCCACTGCACTCCAGCCTGGGTGACAGAAGGAGACTCTTTCAAAAAAAAAAAAAAGAAAAAAAGAAAAGAAAAAGAAAAGAAAAAAAAAGGAAATCAGTATATGGAAGAGATATCTGGATGCCTATGTTTGTTACAGCACTGTTTACAATAGCTAAGATCTGGAAGCAACCTAAATGTCCAACAGCAGATAAATGGCTAAGGAAAATTTGATATGTATATGCAATGAAGTACGATTGTACTATTCAGCCATAAAAAGGAATGAGAACCAGTCATTTGCAACAACATGGATGGAAATGGAGATCATTATGTTAAGTGAAAGAAGCCAGGCACAGAAAGGCAAACATGGCATGTTCTCGCTTATTTGTGGAACCTAAATTCAAAACAATTGAACTCATTGACATAAAGAGTAGTAGAATGGTTACTAGAGGCTGGGAATGGTAGTAGGGGGCTGAAGGGAAGGTAGGGATGGTAATGGGTAAAAAAAGAATTAAAAGAATAAGACCTACTATATGATAGAACAAAAGGGTAACTACAGTCAGTAATAATTTTACATTTTAAAATAGTGTAATTACAGGCATCCACCACCACACCTGGCTAATTTTTGTACTTTTAGTAGAGACAGGGTCTCTCCATGTTGGCTAGGCTGGTCTCAGACTCCTGACCTAAAGTGATCCGCCTGCCTCGGTCTCCCAAAGTGATGGGATTACAGGCATGAGCCACTGCGCCTGACCAAAAACTGTGTTTCAAAAAAATTGTGAACAGTGGGCCAGGTGCGGTGGCTCATGCCTGTAGTTCCAGCACTTTGGGAGACCGAGGCAGGTGAATCACGAGGTCAGGAGATCAAGACCATTCTGGCCAACATAGTGAAACCCTGTCTCTACTAAAAATACAAAAATTAGCTGGGTGTGGTGGCACACACCTGTAATCCTAGCTACTCAGGAGAGTGAGGCAGGAGAATCCCTTGAACCTGAGAGTCGGAGGTTGCAGGGAGCTGA